CCCTACATGTGGTGAGGGGACCTCCCAGGGAAGGTTCTGTAACTTGAGTTTACCTCCTCTGAGATCTGAACATCCATCCATGTGTTTGCTGTGTGTGGTGATACATGAAGGGGAGGGGAGGATCCTGGTGGTTGAGTGGTGTCTGAGGCACTGCAACACACCACTTTGGCCTTGAATTTCTGTTGAAAGGTGGTCTTGGGGTGCCCCCCCCCCCAGGGTCAATTGGCTGGTCCTGTTGGGCTAGGGTCAACTGAGTACCAGTGTTGGGAATTCTCAGTGGGCGTTGTGGACATTGTGTCTGATGCTGGTGTTTGGGTATAGTGCTCACGAAGCCATGGTGTTGCTGCAGTGTCCTTGTTTGGCATTGCAGTGCATCCCCTTGTAGGACTCCATAGTGGGTGGGGTCAGTTGGCACTGAATCATTCTCTACTTATTATGGATCCCCCCAATCCTCAAAAAAATTGTAAAAAAACGTCTGATAGGGAAATGACCATGCATAGATGACTCTGTTACAGTCACCATCAAAGTCAGATCCTGTACCTCAATTTTTAATTTTTCATTCTTTGTCTGACAAATCCTTAGGGCACATGTCTCCCTTTTTCATTCAGAAGGGATTAGAGGGGCTTGTTGCCTCTCTTAAGTAACTCAGGCAGTTGTGCCCTGGAGACATCTTGGTGGAAACATCTACACCTACACATAATGAACTCCTCCTGAGGTCGAGGGCCATTGGGGATAAACCCATTGAGGTTACTCCCAAAGCTACTTTGAATTCCTACTGACCAGTGATAATTGAGAGGGATTTGAATGACATTCTCAAGTAGGAGATTTTTGCTGGTTTCTCCAGCCGAGGTGCTTCTGCTGTGCACCATATCTTCACTCAAAAGGATGGAATTATGCTGCCGACCAGTGTATTAATTTTAACATTTACATTGCCACATTCACCTGCTTCTGTTAAGACAGGTTATCTGAACTGTAAGGTGCAGCCATACATTCCTAACCCTCTCAGATGTTTCCAGTGTTAGCGGTTTGGTCATTTAAAGGCATCTTGTCATGGTTCTTTGATGTGTGCTCGTTGTGGTGCAAAGACCATGACTCCTACGAGTGTCAACTGGACAATCACTGCATCAATAATGGTGGTTCCCACCCCTCTTAATACCGATCTTGCCTGAAGTCGGTGGAGGAGAAAGAGG